CGAGGACCGGCACCTCACGGCATCCCGCCTCCCCAGACTGTCCCGAGGTGAGGTCCCTGCTCGCATGTATACGGCCTCGCCGTCCAAGGGGCTCCTTGTTTCATTTAGAAACCGCAGTCTTGCTGTCTGGGGACCCTTCCCCGGGCCAGGGCTGCTGAAAGATGCCACAGGATCTCACCAGAAGCCTGGTCCCTGTCGCCGTCACACACACACACACACACACACACACACACCCGCATGGGCGGGCCATTCCCTAGGCCTGAGCATGGAGTCTGGCAGGGAGCCTGCTCACCCTGTCATAGGGAACTCCCGAGTCTGTGTACTGAGCTCCTGTGAAAGGCCCTGGAGCAGGAGTAGACTGTGTGAGTCCCTTTCACTCAAGCGGCCTGCTCCGCTTTTTTGGGCCATGTTAGTTTGGAATGTGACCCCGAAAATTCATGCTTTGAAACTTAATCCCCAGAGTCGTATGTTAATGGTACTCAGAGGCGGGAGCTCGGCAGGCCCTAGGATTAGGTGAGCTCAGGAGGGCATGTGTGGCTTTATGAGAGGAGACCTGGGCTGTGCTGACAGGTAATGAGGCGCTGAGGTCCTGACCAGATTCCCAGCAGATCAGCACTGCATCCTTGGACTTCCCAGCCCCCAGCCTGACTGAGCCCAGGAGCGCTCTAACTCTGAGCTCTATCCTCATCTCCAGACATTTTGATTTAATTTTGAGGCAGGGTCTGGCTAAGTTAGTTGCCCAGGCTGGGCTTGAACTTGTGATCTTCCTCCCTCAGCTTCTGAATAGCTGAGACCACAGACACCTGTGCCACACCCAGGAAACTTCCCTTCTTCATAAATTACTTGGTCTCAGGTGTTTTGTTTTAACAGCAGGAGATGGACTAAGACCAAAACAAAAGAGGCAGGGGACAGAGCAGAGTCCTCCTCAGGGAAGCCCAAGTAAATGGAAGTCAGAGGGGCAGAGCAACCCCTTCCGGAGCAGTGGGGTATTGCTCTCTGCCGGAGAAAAGGAGGAAGTGCTGGTAGGCAGCAGGCTGTGTGTGGGAGGCTGTGACAGCAAGGCAGGAAAGCCGTGCACACCTCGACAGCCAACTCACGGTGAGAAATTGGGTTGGTTGTGGCGGCAACAAAGGGAACCAAGGAATGCTGAGAAATGGAATAAGAACACCAGCCTGAGAATAAACAAGAAAGGTACGGGGGAAAGGAGGCTGGAAGCTCAATCTGTGGTAGAGAAAACAGAGTCTGCAGCCCCACCTGCTTGGGAGGCTGAGGCCAGGGAGATCACTAAGCCCAGGAGTTTGGGGCCAGCTTGAACAACACACCAAGATCCTGTCTCTTAAGAAAGAGAGGTACATGGTGGTGTGTGCCTATAATCCCAGCACTCTGGGAGGCTGAGGCAGGGGGATCTCAAGTTTAAGTCCAGACTGGGCAATTTAGCATCTTAGTGAGTCCCTGTCTGAAAAGGGGGCTGGGTATGCAGCTTAGTGTAAGTCCCTGGATTCTGTCCTGTGTACTGCAAAATAAGAGGAGGGGGAAGGGAGGGAGAAGGGGGGAGAGAGAGAGAGTGAGTCACGGGGTGCACCTCAGAATGAAAAGACACCCTTGGTATGGAATTGAAAAGACTGCCTTTGAATCTTGTCTCACACCAACCGGGGAGCAGAGCGTGGTGGAGGTTGTTCCATGCAAAGCTACAAAAAGTTACTTTCACCAAAGACTGGATTTATTGCCAAACATTTCAACTTAAAATAACCATAGTGTTATGGGCTGAATTGTGTCCCCCAAATGCATACACTGAAGCTCTAACTGCTAGTATCCCCCAAATGTGATTATATGTGGTCATAATCCTTTAGGTTAAAAGGAGGCTGTCAGAGTGGAGCCAGTCTGACCGACACCCTTATAAGGAGAGATTCGCAGACACCAGGAAACACCAGGGAGGACACAGCAAGCAGCTGCTCATCTGCAGGCCAAGGAGAGGCCTCATGGAGTCACACCGCACACCATGTTCTGGGACTTGGGCCCCCTGAGCAGTGAGAAAATACATTTCTGTAGTTTAAGCCAACAGCCTGCAGTGTTTTGTTATGGCAACCCTAGAAAAGTAATATACAGAGTCTAGAAAACAATTTGTTGATGAAGGGTTAATGACACAGTAAGATGACTGACCAGTCAGGCACCATGCAGTGGGAACTGTAAGAGAGCCTGGGACTTCAAGACAGATTTCCATTAGGTGAGATACTTCAAGAGGGTGGGGGAAGGAGGGAAGGACAGGAGCCCATTAAGGGTTTAATAAAACGCATAAAGGAAGCAACGACAGCAGATTAAAATACATTTCAGTGACTTGCTTATCAAAGTGATAATCTCTGCATTTATAAAAGTTTACAAAACACTAAAAAGGCAATGCTATCTAATGCATTTTGTGTATTCTGAGGCGGGGTCTTGCTCTGTTGCTCAGACTGGTCTTGAACTCCTGGGCTCAAGCGAGCCTCACATCTCAGCTTCCCAAGTGTCTGGGACACTGGTAGAGGCCACCACGGATAGCAACTGATTTATTACATGAGGAAACACGCTCTCGGTCCCTCAAATCGGATGAGCCCAGGACAGGAGAGCTGCAAGCAAGGCACAGCCTTCTGAGGGTGCCACAGCCCAGGAGCACCTGAGGCCAGGAGGGCAGACCAGGAGCCGGCAGGCTTGGCTGGCGTCTTGGCCTTGCTCCTGGCCAGCTTTGGGCCGATGTGCACACCATCTCACCTCCCACGCCTCAGTTTCCTCAGCCTGTGAAATGCTTGCAGTGCTCAGCAGTCAGCTATTTGGAAACACTGGTGTCGCCCCGGTCCGCGTGTACAGTGAGGCCATAGTAGCATTAACACGGAGTTTTGGTGGCTCGAGTCCCCACCTGCACAAAAATTCTACTTGCCTCAAAAGCGCTGCCCCCAGAGGTTTTTAATTTCTGGCTGCACAGTGTTCAGGGACAGGTGAGCAAATCTTTCTGCCCTGGTCTCCCTGGGACAGCCCCCCAGCCAGCTAGAGGCTTGCAGACATTGGCCAAGCCCCCTGGTCTTGCCCTGGTGCATTCGCCCCCGATGAAGACCTACCCACTGCTCAGCTCCCCTGCAGGACCCCCGCAGGTCTGTCATGGAGAGGGAGAAGCCCCCAAAGCCCCCTCGGTCTGCACCAGAGGCGCTTTGCTTTCTTCCCCGGGCCTCCTTGTGTACAGAGGACTTGGCCCCGACCAGCCCGTCAGACTGGGGCTGGGCTGGGCTTCTTCCTGGGCGCTGTACTTGCACCCTTCCTCCATCAGCAGGGCCTAGGGCCCAGGTGCGTCCTCTGCCCCTGGCTGTACCTGCACGTGCACGCCGGGGACCCCCATGCCTGGCTCCCACGGGGGCAGCCTAGCTCTCGCAGTGGAAGTGCTGGCTTAAAGGTCCCGATATGGTTTTGTCCCAGTCCATTCTCTGAGCTCGGCCCCATGGGCCTCAGAAGGTGGAGGATTTCAGAAGAGAGGAAGGTACGCGTGGCCCAAATGAGGCTTCAGTCCCCACTCTAGCAGGCGGGGGGCCGCAGCGCACCCCCAGCCAGTCAGGAGTGGCCCTTCTGGATGTAACGCAGGGATGACGTCAACTCAGTCAGGTCATGGCCCCCAGGTGTCTGTGGCACAAGTGGGAGCAAAGGTTTGCCTTTCCGAGTTCCTGGAGCTGGGAATTGCCTGGCTACCCCTGCTCTGGGGAGAGGCAGAGAGGTACGGGAAAGCCAGGGCGTTTATTCTGCACCACTGTGTGCCTGGTGCACATGAGCTCTCTGTCTGCCAGACCACTTGGTGGGTGGGTGGGGCGGGCCTGGGCCTCCTTCC